AAGAAATTTCCCAAAAAAAAAAAAAAAAAAAAAAAAAAAGAAAAGAAAAGAAAAGAAAAAAAAAAGTCACATCAGGCCAAAATACTCCTGAACTTCTATAGCCTCCTAAGCATTTCTCTTCTAAACTAAAATCCCACTCTCCCAACTCTCCTGAGCTCTTACTCCTGTTGGCCTCTTAGCTCAATAGATGACAAGTCCCTCTATGCTGCCATGTAGACTTTAACCAGGAAGAGTACAATATTTAAGATGTGCAGGGTATTCATGATGGGAAAATTCATTTGGTATGCTGTAAAGATACACAGTGAATAATGTGATAAATAAATAAATAAATAAATAAATAAATAAATAAATAGAACCAACTAGAGATATCCAGACACTGTATTTACTTCTATTTAAATTGAAACCCAAGTCAAACACTTGTACTGAGAACATACAATAAAGAAAGTATAGGGGTACCAGCAGTTGGCGTAATGGCTATGTCACTGGACTCCCACTGCATAGTAGACTGCGGTTCATGTCCCGGACCCGGTGGCTTAAAACTCATGCCAGGCGCGTGTGCATACATGCCCAAGATCCCGAGAGGAGAATGGAGGAGAAGGGATTGCGGCGTGACCATCCCCCCTGGTGGATGATTTCTCGCTTTCTGTCTCTCTGTCTCTCTCTGTCTGTCTGGCGAGCGCACACACCTTATAGCAAAAACACTCAAAAAAAAAAAAAGAAAGAAAGAAAAGAAATGAAAGTATAGGAGCACCAGAGTGTGGCATGTGAATTAAAGTGGCTACATCTGACAGGGCCTAATGTCTGGTCTGAGTCTTATACCTGTAATCATGAGAAATGAGCCAGATGCCAGACTAGTATTCATCGATGCTCAAGATCCTGAAAGGAGGGAGAAATGGCAGAGATGGGATTGTGGTGGGGACAAACACCATGGTGGTGAGGCTGCTTTCCCCCTTCTCTCTTTTCAGTGAGTGCATACACACTGCACCATAATTTTAAAAAAGAAAAAGCAAAAACAAAGCAGAAGTCTAAAATCTTACCTTGATATACATGATGTTTTACCTAAAAGAAGAACCAAAAAAAAATGATGTCAAAACATATTATTAGGAAATATCTAGAGCTTCTATGATAAAATAATCAAAGTAGTAAGCAATGAAAATGTAATAATGAATTAGTTTGATAATATAAACTCATGGGATTAAAAATAAAAGTTTAGAAAGAACCCTCTCTTTAGGTAAAAATACAATATAAGGCATTTTTGATAAAAATCATA